GGGAATCAAGGAAGACAGAATATGGGCAAAGTTGCTTTGTAATGTGTCATTTTGCCTTTTTAAAAATTTTGAGGCAGTCTTGCTATGTGGCCTCCACTGGCCTTGAATTATCTTATCTTGCCTCAGTCTCTCATCAAGTGCTGGATTATAGGCATGCTTCATCATGCCTGGCTCCAATCAATGGTTCTCACAAGATTATTAAGATATAGATTCCTGGGCCCTGCTCCAAGAGCATGGTTCAAAGGGTGTGACCCCAGCTGAGCCTATATGGGGAGACTGCTACATACATGTTAGCTAGGACATGTTTATAAGGTTAAGACCCTGTTCCTCAAAGTTCATTTCCCAACTACTATTTCGATTTCTCCTTCTTCTTCTCCTTCTCCTTCTCTTAATTCTCCTTCTCCTTCTCCTTCTTCTTCTTTCTTCTTCTTCTCCTTCACCTCCTCCTTCTCTTCCTCCTCCTCTTTCCTCCTTTCTCCTTCTCTTCTTCTTCCTCTTCCTCCTCTCCTCCTTCTTCCCTCCTCTTCTTCTTTGTCTCCTTTTCTCCTTCTCTTTCTCCTTCTCCTTTTCTTCTTCCACATCCTCCTTCTCCCTCCCCTCCCCTCCTTCCTTCCTTCCTCCAACATGGGCTCAACATGCAGCCCAGACTGGCCTTGACTTGGGCTCCTCTTGCATCAGCTTCACCAGTGAGTGCTGGGATTATAGCTGTACACTACCATGCTTGGCCTTTTGTTTTTAACATCCTATGTAGATCCTAGTAGATCTCCAGTCCACTCTATTCCCCTTTCTCCTGTTCCATGCCAGGACCCTTGACCCTTGGCACCCCTCATCCTTGTGCACCTTGGCTGGGTGTCCCCTCGCCCATTGATCTCATGGCACTGGGGGCTCCTGTGCCTGCCTGTCCTTCTGGAGAAAGCCCCTGTGGCTTTCACAAGAATGTGTCTGGTATGTGGCTGAGATGAAGGGGCTACACAAACAGGCCAATACTTGCTCATACACCACTCCTCTCAGTGCCTCAAGGCAGCGGTGGCTGTCCTCTCCTCCCTCCCCTCTTTTTTCACTGTGCTAGTGACAGCCATCATCCATCTGTGTCACTCTCCTTATTCCTGGGTATGGAGCTTTTCCTGCAGCCAGGGACACCAGGTGATGGGGTTCTGGCCAGTGGAAGTAACACAGGCGGCCTCTGGACCTCCACACAAAGAAACCTCATGCTCCTCCCACTTTCTCTCTTCCTGGGTTCTCAAGGATGAGCACGATGGGGGTCTCATTGCTGCTTCCTCCCAGGGGAGCCCAGGAACTGGACTTAGTGGGGCAAAGTGGAATCCCTGTGTTGCCACCTGCTGTGGACTGAGCTGTGCCCCACAAAGATGCTGGAGTTGTAACACCCAGAACCTATGAATGACATCTTTTTTGGAAATGGGGTCTTATCAGATGGTCAAGTTAGGGTGGTGCTAATCCAACACAACTGTGTCCTTACAATATGGGGAAATTGGACACACACAGGAAGGTTGCTGGGTGAAGGTGAAGGTGGAAACCCAGGTGGGACATCAATGAGCCAAGGAGCACCAAAGATTGCCAGGAAACAAAAAGAGAGAAGGCTGGGGTCAGATTCTCCCTCACAGCTTCAGAGGGAGCTGGCCCTGCCAACCCCATGACGGAGCCTCACACACTAAGCTAGCGAGATGCTGATGGTAGCTGTTACAGTGATTATCATTGCTAGGAATAAAATCCTGATTTTATCTGAGGTGACAAAGAGCCCAGATAAAAGACATTTCCCAGCATTCTTTGCAGCTAGGCCTGGACCTAGCTGGTACTTGGAAGTATCATAGGCACCTGTGGGCAGCCAACCTAACAGGACAGTCTCAGTGACAGGAGCCCTAACCCTGCACTTACTCCCCACCCACATCTAGCCTGGAACATGGTCTGGTAGTGATGCCCACAGCTAAAGACACAGATGGGGCAGTGGTGTTGGAGACCCTGGAGGACTAAGGCACGCCAGAGGCTCACTCTGAGCAGCACACCAGAGAGGTGAGATGCTAGTGGTGTGAGCCATGGCTGTTTTGAGTCTTCTGTTCACATTTCCAAGAGTCATTCTAAATGACATAAGGGGTCCACTTTCTCTCTCTCTCTCTCTCTCTCTGTCTGTCTTTTGGCAGTACTGGGGTTTGAACTCAGGGCCTTGCTCTCCTAGGCAGGTACTCCACCACTTGAGCCATGTCCTCAGTCCTTTTTGCTTTAGTTTTCAGGTAGGATCTTGAGTTTTTTGCCTGGGCAGGCCTGCAACGTGATCTCCTACGGATGCCCCCGTGTCCTGGAGCTAGGGGGCCTTTGCATTTTAAAAGAAGCCTCATGTAGCTGTGACATGCTACCCCATAGGAGACAACATGAAGAGCTGATGGGACTTCAGGCACCATACCAAGCAGCAGGAAAAGTGGGTGTCCAGGGAGATCTTCCTGGCCCCCCAAAATCATGGAGTCTGACTTTAAAACAACGTGATCAATAGAAGACTCCTGCTCTTCTCTTGAGGGTTGGAGCAGAATTACAACCAACTTAGCCACACTTAATCATTCTTTTTGCCAGTTTAAAACAGGCTTAGGCTGACATCCTGAAAGACCTTGAGCTTGATCCACTGACAACAAGGGCTGCAGCACAGCAAGAAACACAGCAGAGTTTGCACGGCTGCAGGAAGCACCGGCTAAAACACAGCTATTCAAATAGGGTCACAACGTAAATGTGGTCAAAGGAACTCTGCGTCACCATGTGCCATAAACGCCACCCAGCTTTCCGCTGATCAGCACTGGACTGAGACGAAGTTCAGAGACGTGACCTTCACTGGTTTCCTGGTCCAGTCAGAAGGAATTCTATTCCGTGTGTTCAATGCACAGCGTGGTGTGCAGCAGCAGCCTCTTCAGGTGGGTGCACAATCCTTTTCCTTTCTTGGCTGGGTTCCCTTGTTCTTGGGAGTCCCAGTCACAGAGGCAGCATGCATCTTACGGATGTCTCTTTATTCATGGAACTCCACTGTGGAGCATAGAGGAGTCCACAGTCTTAGCTGGGACACTCACCACGGGGACTGTTAGTGCAGCCATTCAGTCCAGCACGCATTTATTCCCAGTTCATAACATATTCCAGAACTTGTGAGTGTTGTTACTGTATTTGCTAGAGGGCAGTTGAAAAATTCTGTTGTCTTTCTTTTTTTTTGTTTCTTTTGAGACAGGATCTTACTGTACAGCCACAGCAGCCTCACCATCCTCCTGCTTGTGGCTCTCCAGTGCTGGAATTATGGATGTGCACCACCATGCGTGGTGTAGTTGGAATTCTGATGGGGACTCTTCCAAAGCTTTGTGCCACACCCTATGCATATTACTTTTATAAATGGAATAAATGAAATACTTTCTCAGTGGTGTCACACATATCTGAGATGCAGGTCAGCTCCACTGCCATTCACACTTGAACCCTGGAAACTAGAATGACTATCCAGCACTGTGGGAACAGAGCAGCTCATAGGAGGTTTTCAGGATTCTTAAAGGAATGGTCACAGCCTGTGACAGTGCTTCAAAACTCAAGTGAATTTTCAAAAAGGCACAAGGGTGACCTACAGCTAGTTGGATTAATAATAGCATTGTCCCCAAAAGAAGTAGAGGTCATTCACTTGAATGACTTTTGTAAGAAGAGCCATATATCATGTTAAAAGTCCTAGACATAGTTTTGTGCTTTTTACTAGACCATAGATTCCAAAAAGAACTTTTAAATTTGAAGTAATTATAATGCAAAAATAGTTCCTAGAGTCTGGTGTCCCCTTTCTCTGCCCCCAGGGATGCAGTCTTAAGTAATTAGTGGGACAATTAGCCTGAGGTACAGTGTTGTTACATATGCTACCACCGTACTCAGTTTTCAATAGGATGTCTTGGGCTTTTTATTTTTATTTTTCAGATAGGGTCTCTCATAAACTTTGCCTGGGCTGGCCTCAGACCGTGATCCTCCTGAATGGTTGGGATTGTAAAGCGTGTACGACCATACCCAGACCTCAAATCATTGGTTTTTAAGAAGGGAAAAAAGCTCACAAAATATCAGGAGATTATCCATGTCTTCTTTTTCTTCCAGTGCTGGGGATTGAATCCAGGGCTTTGCACATGCTAGGCAAGCACTCCACCATGGAGCTGTACCCCAGCCCGTATTCTTCAGTTTTAACAAATTTTAGCAATTTTAACAAACACACCCAGTCTCTGGCCTGCATCATCCAGCCTTAGCAAGATCCTGCTAGGTCAGCTTAGTGCCTGTCTTGGCCACCCTCAGTGTCTGACCAAGCTCTCCCCTGACCCAATGACTAAACCCACGACCTGCATTCAGCAGGGATCTGGCTAGGTCCACTCTGTGGGAATCCCCTGCCTCTGGTGTCTTCTCTTGGTAATTTTCTGTCCACTCTGTCACTGTCCCCAGCAGCCTTCGCTGTACTTGGAGTCGAGCCTGGTCTTTCTCCCCCCATCACAATAGCCCTGACACCTACAGGATGGTCTGAATAAAGTCTTCCCAACTACCTAACATGAGTCAGATGGTTTCTCTTTACCACTCCAGCTATGCAGATCTTTACCAGCCTAGGTGTGTAGCTCTCCATGCCTTGAAGATAGCCTGAGTCCCACAAAGACAGATGAGTCTGCAGCATCCGAGCCTTGTTCCCAGTGGGAGGACCTCAGAGGAAGAGAGTCAAATCCACCCAGCCATGGGCTCCCTTCAAAGTATTGCAGACTCACACCTGGAGAGCTGGGAACGGCCATCCAGGCTGGGCATTTGTGAGGGTATTTGTGGGCCTCCTGGTTAGGTTACACTGGCCTTGGCTTTTACACATAAATCAGCATTGCCATCAGCAGGGTCTGTCCTGAACTACAGGACAAGATGCACCTCTGTGCTTCTGCTTAGGAAATGAGGGTTGGATTGCCTTGTAAGGCTTTTTGCTTCCTTTCTCCTGAGGCTCATGAAGATTTAAGGAAAAAAGTACTTACTTCTCTTATCTGTGGTGTTGTGCACGGTCACCGTGGGCACGCCAGGACCTGGATTGGGAGAGCAGAGAAGCCAGAAGAAAAACAGAACAGGAGTCATTAGTTTAGTTGAGAACGAAAATAGAAAAGAAGTTTTCCTGATGACTTGTAGGTTGCTTGGGTCTGGAGAACCCAAGTTCAAAGAAGAGTTATCAACAGATGGGTGATAGAGTGCAGGTCCACATGGGTGTCAGAGGCATGGCTTCCTAACTGCACACCCTGGTTAATTAGCAGGAATTCAATCACTGTACACAGTGGGTTGTGCAGCTCAGCTAGGTGCAGGAGGCCAGGGGCACTTTTGATATTTTCAACATGGGACCAGTTTATCAGGATCTTGAGGAACATCTGGATGTATTTTTAGATTACTGGTATAACATAAAACACCATTTTACAAAGCATCTTATTTACTTTCTATCCTTATAACCTTCTTTTTACTATCTAGACACAAATCCCACTGTGGCTTCTTGAAGTCCTGAAACATCATACCAGGGGCAGGCTCAAAAAGCTATGTCTGCCTTTGCTGCATTCTCCTGGAAGGAAGCCACTCCGCGCTCTGCTCTCCTGTAACACTTTGTACAGACTTATTAATGTAACAGGAATGCTTTGTCTTCCCTCCGGTCCCTGCAACTGGCAGCTTCCCCTCCAGGGCTGTTCTAGTCTCCAAGGAGAGTGGGACGGCTCCTTAGGACAGAGTGGTTCCTGCTCAGCTTCTTCTGGGGCGGGGGGGTCATTCCCTGTTTTCTTTAGCAAAAGAAGAGTCCAGAGAGAAAAAGAGCCTTCTGAACTTTCGTCTATGTCTTCCTGGCGGGCAGGTGTCTTTTCTAACCCCATCTCTGCCACTCTCCTCCCCACTCTCTGTCCCATCCAGCAGGGTTTGAGGGAGGCCAAGCTGGCTTCCCTGGGCTGACAGCTCTCTCTGCCCCTAGACACTGGCATAGCTGATCTCTCCTTCATGTAGGTCTCTGCTCAAAAGCCATCTTCAACCATCCAATCTAAAAGAACACCCATTCATGACCACAAAGCCAGCCTAATTCCAACTCCCTCCTCCTTCCCTTCTCCTCCTAGCACTTGAGGTTGCATGTTGTGACATTAGGATCTTAGATATCCATTATAGCATATTTATCTTCCTCAACATAGGACATAAGCGTCATCATGATCAATAATGCATTTCATAATGTACACTGTAACTCTAATCGGAAATGTCACTATAAATCTCCCCCATATAATGAATATATCCTAATAAAAAATTTTAAAAAAGAATCCATTTCATTCAGTGCAAGTTTCAGCATGTAGACACATTTGCAGAGTGATGTTGACTGAGTAACATGGGGTGCACTGGAGGCTGCCCTTTGGGCTCAGGTAGATTGTGTGGGGATGAAGGAGAAAGCAGGAATGGGGTGCAGAAGCGAGGCAGGTGGTCAGAGGGAGACGGATCTGTGGTGACATGGTGAGAGTAGTTGCCTGTGCTCTGCTTTAGGTTGGGGACTCTGGGGCACTTGGATTGTGTGTGTGTGTGGGGGGGGGGCACATCAAAACTGAAGCACACATAATATTTGGACAGAGAATGGCTTAAATTTTCATTCCTGGGGTCCTTGTCAGAACTTCCTGCATCCTTCTAGGCTCAGTTAAGAGCCATGGAGTCTGCCATCAACCGCACCTCACCATGGCAAAGAGACTTCCTGAAGAGGCTGTAGAGTGGACGCCCTAGTCCAGGTCCAAAGAGGATGTGGCAGGAGAGCAAAGGGTTCGCCATATGGATGGTTGAGGTGGGGCAGCCTTGGCCAGGCTGAGACATGACTGTGGTCCTGCCAGCTCCGGATATCATAGCAGATCCCTGATTGCCCTGGGATCGGACCAGACATAACCCAGTGCACATTTAAAGTCAGGAAGTCTAATCTAATAACACAAATTAATGGGTTCTGCTGTGACATTTTCATACATGCCTATAACACACTTTGATCATATTCACCTTCTCATCCTCCTCTCTGGTCTCCCCTCCCTCTGCCCCATCCTATTCCTCTTTCCTAATTGGCCCCTTATATTTTCATGTTTTGTTTTTCTAAATTTAGATTCCACATCTAAGAAAAAAACATGCAATGTTTGTTTTTCAGAGTCTGATTGATTTCACTTAACATGATGTTCTCCAGCTCCATCCATTTTCCTGCAAATGGCACAGTTTCATCCTTCACAATGGAATAATACTCCATTGTGTATAAATGCCACATTTTCTTTATCCATTCCTCTTTTTCCAGGCCCCTGGTTTGGATCCATAACTTGGCTATTGTGACTAGTGCTGCTACAAACATGGGTGTGCAGGTGCCTCTATTACATGTTGACTTTGATTCATTATTCCAGCTATGTGCCCAAGAGTGGTATAGCCAGATCACACGGATGTTCCATTTTTAGTTTTTTTTTTTTTTTTGAGGAACCTCCATACTGGTTCCCATAGTGGCTACACTAACTTACATTCCTGGGACCCTCTCCCTCACTCTGTGGCCCTTCCCCATTCATCCAGAGATAGGTTGGTCAGAAAAAGAGTGGAATGCCTGGCAACATGCAAATGTCTGAGAAACAATGATTTTCTTGCTACAAATACATCCTTGCAGCATTTAGGACATGCTACTAAAGATTATGAGTCTTTCTTGCAATTCAAATATTCCTGAGGCACCTTGCTCCCCCAACCTGGGCAGGAGCAAGACCCGAGTGTCTGTGCCTGCCCACCTAAAGAGACAGCACTTATTGAGAGGAGAGAGTTGAGCATGGACTGGAGGTTTAAATTATTGAGGCAAACTAAGCTTGCAGCTCGAGGATCCATTTCCCCCTGGGCTGCCCATGTGGATGAGCAGAGCATTTATTGAGAAATAAGAGCCTACATCTATTTCCTCTGCACATTTTAGGGTGAGTAAATTTGCAAACAGAGCATACCCTCCATTCTTATTAATAATGTAAAAATTATAATTTATTTAGTGTCACTGTGTAAGAGGCACTCTGCTAGATGTTCACATGAATTATTTCTAATCCAATCTCCACAGCAGGTCTGCAAAATAGGTGTTTCTAAACATATTTTACAGATGAGAAAACACAGGTTTTGAGAGATTTAAGTCTTTTGCTCATCCATGCAATAAGAAAGTTGCTGAGCCTGGATTAGTTCCTTCTCACATTTTAATTCCTAAACTGAATACTTTTTTAAAAAATTCAAATGCTAAAGAAAGGGATAACATGACAATTAAAAGGTCCATTTTATCCCTACCTCCCACAAGTAACTTGAATGCTTCTAAAATGTTTGCATGTATGTGGTTGTATGTACAAATATTTCAAACATATAGACAAATAGTTGCATGTATCTGCAAGCTTTACCCTCTGAATGTTAAACTGCACTTGCTGTAGTCATTAGACACAAAATAAAACAAACAAAAAAAACACAAATCAGGGGATGAAATTCAGTGGTAGAGCAACTGTCCAGCGTACACAAGACCCTGGTTTCCATCCCCAGCACCATAAGAAATAAATGAATAAATAACTAAACAAATAAACAAAAATAATAGAGATTGAGGTCATCTGTGCATACATCTAAAATCTCTATAAATCTACTGGGAGAAAATAGAAAAGCTCTGTGACATTGGTCCAGGCAAAGATTTTCTTGGACATGAGCCAGAAAGCATAGGGGAAAAAAAGCAGAACTAGGTACATGGGACTATAGAAAACTAAACTGTTTCTGCACAGCAAAGGAAATAGTCAACATAGTGAGACAGTCTACAGAAAAAGAGAAAGTATTCACAAACTGTACATCTGGTAAGAGGTGAGTATCTAAAATATGTAAGTATCCCAATCAACTCAATTTTAAGAAAAGAAATAACTTGATTTAAAAATGGGTGAAGGGTGAGAATAGACTTTTTTTGGGGGGGCAGGTAAGGATCAAAACTTTCATGTTAGGCAAGCCAAATAGATATTTCTTGAAAGAAGATATACAAACGACCAACAGGTATATGAAAACCGCTCAACTTCATTAATTACTGAAATGCACATCAAAACCACGATGAGATTTACTATCAAAAGACAAGAGATATCAAGTGCTGGGGAGGACGTGGGGAAGAGGGAGTTCTGCACATCATTGGTGGGAGTGTAAATTAGCATAGCTAATATGGAAAACAATACGAAGATTTCTCAAAAAATTAAAAACAGAACTGCCATATGATCCAGCACCCGACCTACTGGGTAAAATGGTGAAGAGACTTGTATTCCCTGCAGCAATGTTCACAACAGCAATACAGAAACAACCTGAGTGTCCAGGGGTGTGTGGACGGGGAAAGAAAAGGTACTGTTGCACAATGACATATGATTCAGCACTTACAAACAAGGATCCTGTCACTTTGACAACATGGATGTACCGGAAGGACATTATGTTATGTGAAATAAGCCAGACACGGAAAGATAAGCACCATGTGCTCTCACTTACAAAATGTGAAAACGTTGAACTTGTGGAAGGAGAAGGCTGGTGGTTGCCAGGGGCTGTGGAAGAGGTTGGGGAGGAGACACTGGTGAAAGCATGCAAAATTTCAGTTAGACTGGAGGAGGAATGGGTTCAAGGGATTGCCATCTAACATGGAGTCTATAGTTAATTGCAATGTGTTGCATTCTTGAACATTGCTGAGGAAAAATGTGTCACCTATGGTACAATATAACATGTCTCAAGATAAAATTTTTTGTACTGTCTGAATATCTATCTAATTTTGGTTCCATTTAAATTGCAATTCTTGTGATATTTGTGAAACAAGATGTTTGCCATACTGCAGATGCTTTTCCTGTGCTCTTTACAAGAGCTGTCAGTACAGACGATAGTGATTGTTATGCTAAATTGCAATTAAACAAAACCAGAACTGTTTCCGCTCTACCCAGACAGTCAGAAAGATAAACACTCCCTATCCCGTATCTGGGAGCGAGTGCTGTGTGCACAATGTTTGCTGAACAGATTAATGGGTAATGAATGAACAGCTTTCTAATCACGTACATGG